GAAAACCCCCTCCCCCTGCCCCCCCCAAAGGGTGGGAAAGGTATGTGAGCCTTTGGCTCCCATTGCGTCATGGACTGAGGTCTAGTGACACCTCGTTCAGCCGGGCTGAGCCCAGTCAGTTGTTGCCCCATGTTCCCCAAGGGGCATCTTGGCGGTGGCCACAGCCCCAGTATGAGGCAAGGGCTCTCTCCCAGAGCCCAGACTCATCTCCTACCTTATAGAACAGTTTGTGGTGGAGACCACGGTGTATCCAGTAGATGCCCATGTCGGTGAAGAATAGGAAGGACAGCATGCTGAGGAAGACTCCTGACCAGCCTGGGGGAACAGGGATGTTAGGGGTGGTGCCTGGAGACAGTGAGGGACTAGGGAGGTGCAATGGTGGCTAGGCTGTCAAGCAGAGGTGGCAAGCAGGTTGGACAGTCTCCTGTGACTCAGTGAAAGGGATTCAGGTGCCAGTTTGTTGGGAGGTGTGCCTGGGAAAGCCTTCTTTTGGGGAGGGGAGCGTGCATTCAGCAGGCCATCGTGCCCCATCCCTGAGCTGGCACTTGGGTGCCTTATGTTGGCATGAAGGGAACCTGGAATTACAGCTGATAGCTCAGGGCAGCTCGAGGGAGGAGGTGCCTGGGTGGATTTGGGGAGCGATGGGATGAGGTGCACTGCGAGCAGGAGAAATGGGGGACTGAGGGAGGGGACAGCAGCCTGGCAGGGGTGGCAGGGGAGCAGCTCACCATAGGGGGAGTCCTCAATGTTGTCGTAGAGCTTGCTGTAGCCCCGCACCTCGGCGAAGAAGAGGGCGACCGTGGGCACGCTGATCCACGGCAGGGAGCGCAGCGCGTAGCAGATCTCCCGGCGCACCTGGTTCTGCGGGGCACAGGAGAGGGGTCAGGGCACAGGGTGGGCCTGGGCCTGGGCAGAGAGCTGTGGACTGATGCCCATCTGTGCACCCCACATGAGCGTGTTGGTGGCTGGCCTCGAGCTGTGATGGGCACGAGGAGTGATCCCTGCAGTGAGGGGAGGGTTGAACCTTTGTCACCCACGGAGCCACATGCGCAGGGCGGTGCAGAGGGTGCTGGGACAGGCAGTGTCACCGTGGGTGTGTGCAGGGGAGGTGAACTTCTGGAGTTGTTGAGGGGGTCAGGGCTGTTGCTCTTTCTGGAGTGAGGTAGTTTGTGGCTCTTGATGGTGGAGAGCAGGATGTGATGGGTGTGTATGTAGGGCTGGGCGTTGAGTGGGCAGGGGAGTCACATCTGGAGTGAGAAGTCACCATCCCAGGAGGATGGGGAGGTGCAGTGTGTCTACTGGTCCCCAATAGCAGTGTCAGGCTTTGAGCTGGTCTTAGTGTCATTGTGTTTCTAGGGGCTTGGTTGGGTGGGTGAGGGGGGATCATGAGTG